GAGACAGTAAAAAGTTTAATTTGCTGATTATCTTGATAAAGTGTCAGTATAATAGGTGCTTTTATCAGCATAGATCAACGACCAGATGATTATCGTTATTATATAATTACAGCTATTTAATCAAATACAGAAATTTACTGACACTATGTAACTTTCGATCATTGTACATGACAAGTATCTAAAAGCTTTACGTTTTTTAGAATTTAAGATTTGCAGTTTAAAAAGAAAGAAATATATAGTGGCAACAGGAGTTTTAGCATCAAGCTGTTACTTTTCCGTTTTTTTTACAGAGAAAAGTATGATTTAAAAATGTGTCACTAAATACTGTAATTTACAAAACTAGCAGTTTTCTACCACATCTTTTTTCGCTATCTTAGAGTTAACTACCTGTGCAATAATTTTTGGTATAAAAAAATTACAATAGTTTGACTACTTCAGTTTTATTTTGTAAAAATTTTAAAATACCAGAATCTTACTTTTACTTCTTTTTTATGTTTTTATTTTTTTTTACGATCTTTCAATATAATTTTTACGATCTTTCAATATAAGTGTAGGTAGGAAACTAAATTTGAATCTGTTTGAGCGATTAGCAATTTCTGAGTTAAAAAGTAAAGATCTAAGTTTATTAGCTTCTGCAAATTATATCTATTTGTCAAAATTCTGCCTACTGACGAGCCCACAACAGTAGCATCGAGTTTAATAAAGTCAAAAAAAAAACCCGGAAAATATGAGAAAAACAACTGCTGGAGTAAATCGGTACATTCACCAGTTATCGGGAGCCAGTCGACAACTGACAGCTGTGAACATGCGGAACGATATGGAAGGCCAGGACGGAAATGGCATCAAGTTTGAGACCGTCCGCAGGCGTCTGCATAAAATGGACCTGTTTGGGCGTCTTATAAAGAAGCCATTTGCTTGAACTAAGAACTAAAACATTTAGTTACAGGTTGACTGTAAGTATATTTTTATATATAAAAGTAGTATTTATATTTTGTATAATCATTAGTAATGTAAGTCTTAGCTCGACAGGAAGTGCAAAACAGGAAAGGATGATGAGGCTACTTCCTGAGAAGAACTGATTTTTTTATACCGGTGCTAAAATAATGGCCGCTGCTGTACAGTTTTGTGAGTTCAAAAAATTTAATTTTTGTCAGGTTTCTTCGGTCTTCTTTTTCTTGCCGTTTTTGACTTTCTTCACTGGTTTCCGCCTCTTCTTTTATTTTCACCGAACAAGGCAAATTTATGAGAGAATAGAGCCTGTTTTATGGTTTCTAATAATTTTTCCCGTTCAGTTGTTTGTTTAATTGAATAAACTTTAACAGATCATTTACAGTCTAAAATTAATTTATAGACATCGGTCAACAATTTTCTACTGCGAGTGCAGTGTTATCGTTCATTTTGCGGTAATTTTAAATGGTAAATAAAATAGGACAAAAAAAATAAAATAAAAATCAGGAATTGTTTTTGATAATTTACAAAATTGTTACATAATTGAAAAAAAAAATTTCTTCTGCTTTCTTTTGATTTTTTTAATGTATATAATTTTGCTGCCTTCAGAAAACTTAATACATCTGAATACTTTGAAGCACCCCGAACGACAGTTGCAGCCTTCTTTGTCGCTGTTCTTTTTGCTTTCTGTCTTAAATTTTTGGTAGCTGCTTATTTTTAGTTAAACAATAGGATTAATATATAAACCAACGCGACAGTAAATTTAAAAAAAAATTTTATAAAAATTAAAAGGTTTTTTTGATTAAACAACTATTTGTTGAACTTTTTGGACAAATTCGATGTCTTTATATAATATAATATAATAATAAATTATAGGCTTAAAATAAGTTCTATATAAGCAATAAAAAAACTAAAGCAAAAAACGTACAACATATAATTAAATAAAAACGGCTCATATTTCTTATTTATTGTGTAAAGGATATAATTTATATAATGGTTATGAATGTTTTGTTATATAGTAGCAAATTTTTTACAACAGTTCACTTTTGATAGGTCATCTATTCTTTTTTTTTTACAAATCTCTACTGTTCTATCAGTTGTAAAAGTATTGTCTATTATTTGATTATGCTTGATGCTGCTAGTTGACAGTAATAATAGGATTCTTTCCGTATTTGATACTGTTCATTTAAGTGTCATTTAATTGCTGCTTTTAACATCTCAGATTTTATCTACTACTCAGTTGCAGTTCACCGTTACTCCAATTTCAGGTTAATTGAATATATGAGTATTATTCTTTTTACAGATACAAAATAGTTAAAGAAGTTTAAACAGCACTAGTCAATTATTCACTTTATCGTTTCTAGAGATGGAAAAAAGCACAAGAGAAGTTGAAATCACCGTCTTTTAGAATTATTCAACCAACAGTTTTAGTGCATCTCTGTTTAAGCCTTCAGAAAGAAAGAGCAGGTTTGGGAATCAAGCATACATCAGAATTGTTCGTTACTAATTCGGCATTTAAAAAGGACTTTTGAAGGTTAATAAAGCTTCCGCTAAAAGCATTAAAATTGTTATAGTCGGAAGGTACAGAGAAAAGCAAAAAAAAAAAAAAGGTACGATTAAAGCAGTTGTTTTTTGATAATAATTTTTTTTTTTATAATTGTTGCAAAATCGTAAACAGTAATCATTAGTATTTTGGCCTAAACAAAATGTTAGCACCTGGAAAATCTTGGTTTAACAAGGCAACTGCAATTTGTGGCTAACCTGTAAGAAGATTTTATTGTTTAGATTTATTTTGATAAACTAAAGCTGCTTTTCTCTTTTCATCAACGAGCAATCATTTTACCTTGTAATTAGCGGATTATATTAGAAGATAAAGCGGAATAAGGAAAAAAAAAAGTATTAGCTTTATAAAAAAAGAAGAAAGGAAATAAGAAACGATTACAACATTTTCTTCTCATCTTTATCTTTTCACTCTTTTTATCGTTTTCCTAAATAAAGCTCTCAGCTCTAATTCAAAACTGAAAATAGTCTGTTTTTGTGAAAAGAAAACAAAAAGAAAAGAAATTTTCAAATGCTTATTAAAATTTCAATAAAAAAACAATACGTTTTATATTTGTTTTGTCTGTTTTTTTTTCTTTTTTTTTGTGGTTTTGCTTTTTATGTGCGCGAAATTTGTGCAAAATACGTTTTTTGAATGATACAAAGAAAAGAAACAGAGTTAGAAAAAGACAAAAAAAAAAAAAAAGTGAAAGGAATTGTAATAATTGAGTAAATATTTTGTAACAGCATTTATAAACACACTTATTTTTGGAAAGAGTTCTCAACGCTGATAATTGCAGAGCGGCTAAAAAAAAATTGAATATAAATTTCAATGGTAAGACAGCTTTCTGTTCTGCTTTTTCTTTTTACAAACAAATTAAAAAAAACAATAACATGAATATTCTAAGATGGTCGGATTGCCTATTGTTTCAGTTCTTTTTTACCAACTGTTTCCGATGTCATCACCTTCAACCCTCTTTTGAACATACCGAACTGGTGCCTCTTCACGCCAATTTCGCTACTGTAAAAACATTTGTTTACCGAAACACAGAAAAACACAACGATTTGTCCGATTAAATTTGTCAAAAAAAAAAAAAAAAAAAAAAAAAAAAAA